AGAAAGAACTCTAATTTTAGTAATTTCTTTATATTTTACTAATATTTAGAATGATTTTTTTAACGTTTATTAAATATTTTATTTACATGATATTCTTCTAAATAATTGTAAATAATCTAAAACGTTTACTTTTAAATTTTTAAAATCATATTTACAGTTTTTTGTATTACGTTGTCATCCTAAAAATTTAAAATATTTTTTCATAATTAATATATTTTTATTTCAAAAATGGCTAAATTTCAGAAAATACGCAGTTAGAGAGTATCATTTTAGGAAAATAATATAATGTTTAACGTCGTTTTAACGGCAGTTAGTCAGGGAGATTGAACAAAACATTATTCATTTATTTTTAATTAACGAATATCATTTAAAGAATTAGTTAATTTTGAAGACTAATTTAAAAAAACGTATAATTATTTAGTACCAATTTAGAAATTTAATCTAAAATTCAAATGTAATGTGGAGTACTAAATTTCAACTGAAAAAGACGTGAGGGCCTCTAGTCAAAGAAAGGACATTGTTTTGCAAGGTAAAGGAAATGACTTTACTTTGGGGATCCCTTTCCATCTTAGCTTAATTTATTCACCAATTTTAGCTCAAAAACAAACGAGGCATTAATGAAGGATGTGGCCGTTTCGGGGCTCGGACTTTCGTCTTTCGGTCCGACTGTGGCGTCCCCATTATTTGCCTACCGCATACCTTACAGCTGTCCTTTGCTTTGTTTGGGGCATTCCATTCTTCCCCATTTTAATGTCTCCTTTGACTCAACAACTAATTAAAGAAAAACATGGAATTTTTGTGGATGCTCGTCCTACGTCTTGATCTAGTGATCCTTACACATCTTGAATAAGGGTATCGAAACGGGCTTTGGCCCACTTTGGGCCTGTTTAGGAATAGCGTTAGAGATTAGCGTTAGCGTTTTCAAAAGGCTATCTATGGGCAGCGTTTAGCGTTAGCGTTTTCAAATTAATCTGCACCGTTAAAATTTTATCCAGAACGCTAACGCTAATCTCTAACGTTATTCCCAAACATGCCCTTTATTTATTAAGATATCTATCTAGACGTTTAATTTCTTCTTTCTTAGCGGCTATAATCTTTAGCTCAGTTGTCCATATTAAATACACAGTCAACAGTATGTGAGCTATTTAATTCGATTGTTAGTCTAGAAGTCCATATCCAATGACTCTGAGTCTTTCAAGTGTTCAAATTTTTGTTTGAAGGGAAGGGAGTCCATTTGTAAGCAATGATTTTAAACCCGGATCGGAGGTCGACCCGGCGGAGAGGACGCGCCCCGGGTTTTCCGGGTTGACATAGTTTTTTTTGGGTTTGGGGGGGGGGGGGGGGT